GCACTACATGCAGTCACACACAACCATACAATAGGATGGGATAGGATGACAGTTTTAAAATCTAATGTCACAGGGTATAGGGAGAGATTGATAACAGAAGCTTTGTTTATCGAATCAACTGCAAATACATGTAATAGGAATGATTCATCACCTGTCCCCGATATCTGGAAAATTCTACTCCCCCTACGACAAATAGGAGAAAACAAAGAAAGCTATAAAACTCAAGTGTCAAAGTCGTGTGATCACAATTGATATGATTATGAACAATAAATTTTGTTCGAAACGTCATCCAGTAAATAATACTGTTTCACTGTGTGATTCATCTAATAAACAAACTAATATGGAAATCTGTACAGGCACTTCCATTACTTTGGCCATCTTTACATGAATGTTTTAGCCTTTCGTCGCCCCCTCCTCCACCCTATAAACCTTCAAAAATCATAATTGTCCAAATTATTTTATCATTATTCTGACTACTTCATCTCTAATCGCGAGTTATCATTGTCCAAAGCCTTTTATTTTTCCTCAACAATTTGTTACGTAGTCAACTTGAGCAGTCGCTTATTCCTTAATTACTCTTCATTTTTCCGAAAATATACACTATGCAATGCACTTGTTGTAACCATTCCCACCTTTTAATTGTGTGTATTGATTTTCTCCGTTAATTATCACGCCACTGTTTCATCTGGTGATGCTGACTAATTGTTGTTAACACACATATCGCCACTCGATTTTTAAATTGTTGTGTATTGTAGTAAAAATGCTACATATATATGAGGATCCAATTGAAAAGTAACTATTTCTTCGCTCACTTCTTATGCTTTCTAAATCTATTGCCGTCAAGCAACTCTAAAGGAATACGTATATTTATGAAGAAACAGTGCTAAATCTCATTTTACCTTGTTAACAATATGTTACACCTTTTACATAATTACGCATTCTGCATTTGGGATTTTCCTATGCGCAGTATTATTCTTATTACTCCTATGATTGACTGACTTGCTTGCGTTCCATTTGTGTCTTCTGTGTTATGTGAATCACCAAAACACCTCGAATATCCTTCTAAACTTATGATAAATTACGTCTTCCTTTTCGCGTTATTTGTAATTGATTGTGTCATCACACTTCGCCCATTGTCGTTTCCATAAATTACAATGCTTATGCGACAATGAATTCATAGGCCATTGGAGCGGTTTCCAGTGGCTGAATGGTCTACGAGCGCACCTTGTAACTCTGGTGTCTCCTCATTTGCGGATAAATCTTTCGCCTTTTACCAAAGATTTCCGTGGGGGAGCGCAATTTTTGTGCGCCGATGGCACAGTCGTTAGGACTCTCGCCGACCATGCACATGGTCCGGGTTTCGACCCTCGGCCGACGCACATCTGATATCTATGGTCGGCCTGCAAAATTTGGGCTACCGATATCACATTCTGAAAATTCCATACCTGTTCCAAAAAATACGGTGTGGAATCAAGCTATAATCAAAAATCAGAAGGTCCTGGGTTCGAACCCTGGAGGTGGTTGCGTATTGGCGAAGATTCCCAAACTAGGTTGAAACGGTTCTCCAGTACTCCTTGGTTTTCAAAGGTTCACTAAGTGATGTCAGCTCATGATGAAATCCTCCAACCAAAAATATGTATGTCCTTATTTTTTTAATACCAAATATATTTTGGACTGCCTGAAGTTGAAGAGAATGCACGTGATAAGATCCGCACATACTGTGCTACAAATTATGCTCTGCTTTTATAAGGATGAATGGATGAATATGAAAACAAAACGCTTTTATTCGTTACAGAAAGGAAACTAACAATGAAGTCAGTTGCTTTCGTTTACTACTCGTTTAAAAAACAAAGCTGCTCACACATTTAACCATCCATATATTTCTTAAGTCTGTAAAATTTGAATACATCAAAAATTTGACTAGTTCGTGCTATATCGTCTACTGAGAGATACGTGTGAAAGGTTCAAAAAGTGAAAAGCTAATTTACAGTTTGTACAAAATCTTTATTATGCTTTAAGATTCCTAGGTTATTTATTGATTGTTTTGAAACGTGTGACTCCAGGTGCAAAGGTCAGATTAATTACAGATAGATTTTCATCAAAATTTGACATTCATTATCTCAGACACATGTTAGTCACTTGGATGTTTACCAAGCTTCACTTCATACATTTATATTATTCCGTAGAAAATTTTATCTACCGAACAAAAAAAAGACTGTTTTGACACTTCAATGCCAATCATTTCAGCAATATTGATGTTAACGTTTCATTCGAAAAAGTAATTGCTATCAGAAACTGATTATACGAAGGTTTGAAATAGAAAAAACCGATGTATATCGAGGGCCATTAGGTATGAACGAAGACTGAGCATTTCCACCACTATAAATAACACATCAAAAACCACAAACGGACATAGACAAACAAACAGCCACTTCTGTTTACTGAAAAGTGGTCTTCGAGTTCCCTTAGATAATGTGGATAGCCTAAAACATTTAAGATGATGACTGTTATACATGATGTTGCATTTTCCTTCTACTACGACAAATGCAACTATTAACACTGACAAAAATGACCCTCTATTAACCGATATGCGTGAGTACCGACCTGATACGAAGATCACCTAGCCACCATCTACTCATAAGGCAAGATTAAGCAAAAGACACACTTGATTTGCAGACCACACTATTAACACCGGTATATTCCTCCGTAAACGCTGGACGGCCATTAGCTAACAACATTACTCCTCAAGTCATTCGCTAATGTATCAGTTATCTGGGGACTCCGAGTGTGTATGTACACACGTATATACACATAGTCTGAGACTGAGATACTCACAGTCATCCACCAAACTGTGTAACCACGATTCATCTACTTAGTGTAGTGAATGACAAATTTATTTCGTTGTCGGAAATCTGTACTGAAATGACATGATCAGGACCAACGCATTTCACCACTAATCTCTACACTCCATGCTCAATGTATTCCATCTTACCGACTCAGTTACTCCAATGAATCTGTACACCGGATGTTTGCTTCAAAAAAATGTATGTGATGTGCTGATTTCGTGGACTAGTGATCATGAATGCATCCTGTGTCTGCCTTTCTTTCATATACTACATTCAGCACTCACAGTTGTCTTGTACATAGGCATTGGCCTCATGTTCATATTCCCGCCAGAATCGATCGTCATCATCATCATTATAACCAGTGTCAGCAGCATCAGCGTTGTGAGTAATTGATCAGTACTCCCATATAGCCAGAAGAAGCATACTCAAAGAAGTGTGAGGTAGAATTTGTTTGTAATCTAGTCGAATACATTTGAATTGAAGGCTGATAATGCTCTCATGTTTGACAAGAAGTAAGCAGTTCTCACTCGCAGGAGTGGTATCCCTGCCCACTATTTCACTAGACAACACACACGCGACTGACTGACATCTGCTTCTAGATAAGAATTATGTGTCTTATCAGTTCATAGCAAGGATACATTCTATTCTATGATATGAAGTATTGAGAATGAATGAATGAATGCAACGCGATGCGTTAGTTATCTGATTCCGACTACTAACAGTGTTCTTAGCGATAGACTATTGTAGATATAATGTGGTGGTGTGATACAGACAATGTGTTCCATCGGAATATTATTCTCACAAATTCCTGCAGTTCAGTGTTGCATTAGTTACAGAATACTTTTCATCTTTTTGAACATTTAATTTGATCCTGGAGTCAGAATACTTTTCTCACAGTTCAATACTGCATTAGCAACAAAATTCTATATATGTTTGAACAGTCTATTTCATGTCGTTTAATGTGAACCGAAATCACACGCTCAGTGATTGGTTAAAGAATATAAACTATAGATATATAGAGAGCGGTTTGATCAATGCAAAAATACCTTTGCTTCCACATCACGCCTTCTGCTGTTACAATAGGAAACTACCATGTTGTGACAATCAGAGTGAAAACGGTGACCGATTCCTCTTCAATCAAGTCAACACAGACAGTAAGAAGCTTCCGTATGTGTTTCGAAATGACAAATTCACTCCTGACGTAGTGTTGTGCGGAGAAGACAGGAAGGCTCTTATTGTAACCAGTGCATCATCTCATATCACGTGTGTACACAATGAATGGAATTTCTCATTAGGAGTATTATATTATGCTGAGGTTGCTATACTATGTAATTTTATCTTGTGTTGTGTTATGCCTTATTGTCTGTCAACATCTTGACAAAACTTCTCTGTCTGACATCAAGTTCTACACGAAATAAGTGACAGTCAATCAAGAAGGAGTGAATGATGCCACACAAAGCATGAAGCGCTGTGGTGGTTCAGACAGATGTGAATTCACTTCTTATTCCTACTGAAGACTACACTTATTCATCATCAGACGACTTGACGTGTGTAGATTTCTACTCATGAGGTGGAGAACAAAGTAACGAGGAATACAGCTGGTGAATGGTGAAGTGAAGAACAAATGGCGTGTTGTCAACTCACATCAGGGCAGTTAGTATTAATCGCACGGATAGGTAGAGTGTGTTTATCATCTAGGTGACTGGAGTAGACAGTTGACTCTCCAGTCAACACTGTCCAGTGAGCAACTTGGACAGTCCACCCCAATTTCACGTCACTACGCTTACTTTGGCTTCCAGATAATGGAGAGACATCGTCTGACTGGCTTATCGAAGGCTTCAATTCGCCAGTTGCATCACTCCACGAAATGAACAGCTTTCCCGATTCCGGTAGAGGGCAGGTTTACTTTAGTATGCTTCGAAGTGTCACTGGTGATAGAGTGGTTTCATACAGAGTGGTGCTGCCAACCCCACTCCAAACATACACTGTTTTCCGGGCAAACGGCCGGAATGTAAACTAGGCGAGGTTCTGATACAAACAGTGAGACTGAGTTTTCCACTCTCGATTCTCAACTGTAAAGTGTTGCTACAACTGCAGAAGGCAGGGAAATCCAACTATTCGACATTACAAATTTCGCAGATAGAAAAAATGCAGTTTTGAGCAGAAGAGTTTATTCGGTAAATCATGTTATGAGAGAGAAAAAAGAATGACGACAACACAGAGAACATTGAAAGAAATCCAGTGCACACAGAATTAATGTGTCAGACAGTTAAATATTCAGTTGTGGTGTAAATAACGCTTCGAGAGGAAATCGAGACAACGAGTAAATTAAAGCCAATGGTCATTTACAACACAACGACAATGAAGAAACTACAACAACAAAGCAGTGGATTTAAACAGTCGACATGCAGTCGGACTAATATTGGAGGAGGTTAACAGTTAATGTTCAGGATACTTCAAGCCCTTCAATATCAGAGTCATTCTCATCGTCAACCGTTGCGTCCTGGTATTGCTGATATTCACTCACCAAATCATTCATATTGGATTCAGCCTCAGTGAACTCCATCTCATCCATACCCTCACTGGTGTACCAGTGTAGGAATGCCTTACGTCTAAACATCGCAGTGAACTGCTCAGAGATTCTTCTAAACAGTGCTTGCATAGCTGTGGTGTTACCGATGAAAGTGACACACATTTTCAGGCCTCTCGGTGGAATATCGCAAACTGCTGTCTTCACATTATTCGGAATCCACTCAACAAAATAACTCGAGTTCTTATTCTGCACATTCAACATCTGCTCATCAACTTCCCTCATTGACATGCGACCACGGAAGATGGCAGCCACAGTCAAGTAACGTCCATTTCTTGGATCGCATGCAGCCATCATATTCTTCGCGTCGAACATCTGTTGTGTGAGTTCAGGAACCGTGAGTGCTCGGTATTGTTGACTCCCACGACTAGTGAGTGGGGCGAAACCAGGCATGAAGAAATGAAGACGTGGGAATGGCACCATATTCACCGCCAGTTTGCGTAGATCGGCATTCAGCTGACCAGGGAATCGCAGACACGTTGTCACTCCCGACATCGTCGCACTCACCAAGTGATTCAAATCGCCGTATGTCGGGTTGGTTAATTTCAGCGTCCTGAAGCATATATCGTAGAGTGCTTCGTTGTCAATGCAGAATGTCTCATCAGTGTTCTCGACGAGTTGGTGGACGGACAGTGTGGCATTGTATGGCTCGACAACGGTGTCTGACACCTGGAAAATACAGGCGTAAATTACAAGCTTTATGTTCTAGAGCATCTATTGTTAAAAGGAAAACAGCAGTTATTGCAATACTTCACATTCTATGATTCAATGCAGTGTAATACAATGCAATGCGATGCATTGCATTATAGACAAAGAGACTAATGTCTCAAACTGGTTGGGGGAAGACTAAGATAACTACGGCTATGACTCTAACAATGTGTGTATGAGTGAGTATAATTCAGCTCTGAGAAATCGATGGCGACACTGAATAATAAATAATCTACTATCTCAACATTTGACTCCACTTACTTGAAATGACTGGAATACTGATGTGGAATATGAGCTACATCGAAGTATAATACTGTGCTCTATGAGAGTGATTTGTTAGATGACGAGTGAATATTGAATTCACTCACTATGTTGGAGAGAGTTGGATGAACAGAAAACACATTGCATTCACACTGAGTGTGTTCGTTCAGACGTGTTCAGACGAGAGAGACGAATTGTTAGAATGCACTCAGATGCCTACATTCATGACTGTTTTATGGAATACTGAATAGCTGATCAGCAGGTTAGGCGATGGAAGCTGGTATTTCTCAGATGAACTCTCGATAACTCTATCCAGTTGTTACCAGTCTCCGACTCTTCTGATATTAGGGATGTAACAGCGGATGACGATCTGGGTACACCACTTTCAAGAGGCAGTTGAAGGAGCGTACCATCTTTCATTTTCAATTTCTGTGAATTACTGTACACGTCACTGATTTCATCTCTTAACAATAGTTAGAATATGCATTTCATGGGTGCACTATCTGCCTGCTATGTCGATGGAAGTGTAACTAGGAAGGATGACTGGTCTACAGGTGATTGCGTTTGGTGGTAATTAAGCGGTCCCATGATTACTAGCGCACATTTCACATGAACAATGAAGAAATATCTTGTTGATAAATATGAATGTGTATGAACATTACGTGTTCATTTGAATTCAAATGCCTAAGTGGTATTGAGTTGAGTCATAATGAGTTATTTAAAGGTCACCTGACCATATATACTGACTGGACTGATACATACCGCTTTGAACTATAGCTGTCCATGAATGTGGCTTGTATTTCGGTATTCTATCAGAAACTCAGAATATCCCTTACACAAATGCATAGACTAAAGTGAACACATCCGGTTAGCAATACAAAATACAGACATTAGCACACTTCAACATAGATTTCTATACTGTCTAAAATTTATGTCAGACACATTATTTGCATAGTTAACGCGGTTGAATGCTATGCTAAAATGTTGAGCTGAGGCGACTTTTACACTTACTTTGGGTGACGGGACAACAGAGAATGTGTTCATTATTCGATCAGGATATTCCTCACGGATTTTCGAGATCAACAGTGTTCCCATACCTGAACCCGTTCCACCACCAAGTGAATGAGTCAACTGGAAACCTTGAAGGGAATCCGTGTTCTCTGCCTCCTTACGCATCACATCCAACACTGAATCGACGAGTTCGGCGCCTTCTGTGTAGTGGCCTTTAGCCCAATTATTTCCAGCACCACTCTGTCCAAAGACAAAATTGTCTGGACGAAATAATTTCCCAAACGGACCTGTACGAACACTGTCCATTGTTCCTGGCTCCAAATCGACCAATATTGCACGTGGTACATATTTGTCGGAAGAGGCTTCGTTGTAGTACACTGTGATTCTTTCCAGTTGAAGTGGGGATTCGCCAATATACGTGCCCACAGGATCAATCCCGTGCTCGTCTGAAATCACCTCCCAAAACTGAAAATGAGTTAAGTGAAATAAATAAATAAATATATTCAGTCAACAAAAATGCCCAGATGGCGGCGATACACTTTAATAATGAACGATGAGAATTACTTTGTCACTGTGTTTAAACTGTCTGTCTGATGTAGACAAGTTTAGTCGACCAATGTCATTTAGAAATAAAGAATGAAGTGAATGTATGTCCACTGACAGGACACACCGAATGAACTAGTGAATGTTATCAAATGAATGAAGGATAGGTGATATTCTTCTCAGTGGATTTATTGTCATCACTTCTCTCACAAATATAAAATCGAATTTGTTATGGTGATGAGAGATCACTATGAGGGTGTGGGTGGTTGAATACATTAATGGGTGTGGACATCAACCTCCCACTGCTTATCGGCTACAGGATGGATGTCCTAAAGTTTTACTCAGAGGTGTGTTGGTACTGGTGGTATCCAGCGTGTCTAGTGTGAAGCGGATGCTCATCGAGGTGATTGATCCACCGTCTCACTGTCTACATCTCACATTGACAGAAGGTACAATTCACAAGTGATGATTGGATTCCAACCCAGTGACTGGATGGTCAGTGGGCTCGTGTCGTGACTACTTCCTGTACTGGAAGTCAGTCTGAACGAAGAATATTGTTTTCAGTGAATTCGCCCCAAGTATCATGTGATGATAATGATAATGAAATATCATTTTATAACTGTGGGAGCTCGAGGAGATTAAGTGCTCGGTATAAGACATGTTACTTATTGAATCATTCAGAAGATAGGACTAGTATTTAAGTACAAGAAGTCTGATATGTTAGTACAGTGTGGGAACATATCTTATTCCATCGGCCAAGGAATTTATTCAAGGGAATATTCCTTGTTCAGACTGACTTTATACAATGATTTATACTTACTTATCATATTTCCTTATTCGTTGAATATATGATTGTCAAGGAAGTATCAGATGAATGTCGGTTTGTCGTAAAAGTGTGCATAGAGTATGGAAGGAGAGGAATGAGTGAATTAATTATTGCGTGGTGTCATATGTGCTCTGTCAGACGCAATTTCAAACGTGATGTACATTGAGAATATGCAGAATAGTTCACTGATCTGCATTCTGCAGATTCTGTATTCAAATTCTCTTGGTTTGAAGAAGAAGATGAAGAGTGGAAACATTGACTGGATAGAGAATTTGTGGCATTTTACAGGCTTTTCAGACATGTCGACATTTATTTGTGTTTTGATTTGTGGACAGGAACATGGACTGCTCATGTCTTATATGACGAAATTGTCGTCTTCACTCCACACATTGATGATTAGACAGTTGAGACTGAGCATCAGCAACACCGTAATAATACACATCACAACTTAAACAGTGTTAGTCTGATTGTTCACCTCAATGTCTAGTCGACAAGCTGCTGAAATTTCAACAGTGTGTCAGCAATTTTCGATACAATTGGAATCAGATTCGGAGGTTTTCTGTTTGTTAGTGGACATTTCACAAGGTGGCTTAATGTCTGACCATTTCCAACTTATTGCATAGTGAAACATTATTGTGCTGCAACTACAACTTGACTATTGAGGCATTGAAACCTAATCGTTGGGTGTTGTGTCCAAGCACAACTTGACGCATTTCAGTATGATCAGCTGGATGGATGTCAGCGTTAATTGTGAGACAATAGGTATGCCTTTCCGACTGGTATGTACACATTCAAGTGGATAGTGAGATGGCTAATTTGCACTGATGAAAAGTGAAACACTCCTAGTGTTAATAATTAGCCTGGAAATGATGAGTTTTAAGGTGAGTGAGGTGACAAAATCACTTCTCTTAGGAAGGGGTATACCTTCGACCAATGACTATATGTTGAAAAGAAACAGTTGTGACCTCTATTGCTATCACGGATCTAGTCTCCCTCGGTTAACTTTCCCTTCGATTCCTTTTTATTCCTTCTCTGTATCTATTTTGATTTTTTACAGGAGAAATCCGTTAATGCATATTATGTAACTATATATCTCAGGGATGCAGTCGACTTCAAATGATGACCATATACCTGCCCACATATGTCACTCATATCACAGGTAGTCAGAAAACATGCCAGTGTAGTTGCTTGTGTAGTTGCTAAATGTCGGTTTCCACTGTGTTGAGTTATGTTCGTGAACACTGGTGAAGGTGACGATATTTGTATTGAATGACTCTGCATCACATTATCATTGTTATTTCTTTTTGTTCCGAATGGAACATAGGGCTTCACTAGCGTTATATAAATTGGTGTAATATGACATTTAAGATTTCCGTTTTCTCATCGATTTCTTTTCTACTCTTCCACTAAATTATCCTTCAAAATCCATAAACATAGTGATTCTGTGGATAGTCAGCAATTAGACCACCTAGAGAAGATAGTCAGTTAGCTGTCTTTTCTATTCTAGTTATATATCGCATTGTTTGTGCGACTTCAGCAACATATTTACACTTCGCTCCGTTCTCTGCAAAGGGAAAATGAGGACACAACCTGTTGGAATACACTTGTATATATATATATATATATGTATATATCTATTTATGTATGTGTGTGGGTATGTAGTGATGCCAGTATTTGCTTGTAGTGGGAAATATGTAAGTCTCACTACAGCGAGAATGCGATTTCTGATAGCTACACTATTGTCTGGAATTATTCATGTTTACCAGTTGAAGAATAGCTGTTATATTACAAGCTATTTGTACAGGGCACAACAACAATACAGAACACACAGTCTCTTCTGCATGAAATTCATGACTGAGATGTACCTTCACAACGGGTTCCATCGAACATCTCGTCAAAGCAAGGACAACATAATTTGCAGTATAAGATGTGCAGGGTTCATATCGACGATGCTCATCAACTTCACACAGCTCAAAATATATTGAGTATTAACAAAGTGAGAACATACATCGTTTTACTTCTATTCAACAGAACACTGTCGTGAGGATTGTGGTTCAGGGGAGTGACAGTAGATGAAATGTGATGGCATAATCAGTTACACATAACACGAAAATAAAGAAGTCATTTATTGTATTCAGTTTGGAGGAATATTCGAGATGTTTTGGTGATTGACACAACACAAAATACACTAAGAGACCAGAGACTAGTAGAGGAACGCATACTACTTAATCATATACGAGTGAGCACTTGGAGATGATTTGAAATCAATTAAGTGAACTGAGATCAGTGTATTCGGAGGACGATTTCAGTAGTTACAGTAGTAACAATGGTGATGATAATAATATTAACAGTGAGGAAATAGGAAGTGAAATGTCAGAAGAGATAGTCATGTAATAAGTGGAATATACTGTTTCCATGGTGAGCTGAGATCGACCACTGCTGCTTTATATATACACCAATTTGTTAGAGTTGCTTAATGGCAATAGATTCGGTGAATCGACGTGAAGTTGGATTTCCTTGTTTCTTGATATTAGTAGTGAATAGAGTTGGAATACCCACTTGGTATTCCGATTCGATTCGATACTGGCGATTGGCATTGGAGAGGGACTGGGGATGTTTGAGTTTCAGTCACTTTGGGATGTGTTCGGAGAAACGAATGGAATCCAACCCTTCTGTCCTTCGAATGTATTTCATCAGACATGTGGATTTTAGTTTGTAAGCACAATTCGAAGTGGATTAGAATGCGTACTGATCCACCTTCAATTCGTAAAGGCAACGACTAATTATGTATACACTCAAACCTGTAGTCTAGTGTTTATATAACGTGAAACACCGTTTCTATTGAAGGCAACTGGATGAAGACAGCCTTCTTATCAGTTGTAACAGCATTTCTCTCATTAGTGTAATTCTTTGCGAGCAGTCTGTTAAATTCCTCTGAACACCCGTCTTCAGATGACCCCCTGCCAAAGAAGTGAAATTCTCCATGCAATCCACCTCCAGAGCACAGTTTACATGCCCTTTCAAATACCGTCCTGAACAATTCCTGTTTGTATTTTACTCGACAGCAACTAGGACAGATTAGGTGCTTTCCAGTTGAGATATCCCTATGGTATATTCACCCAACGAGTGTATCATCATCGCGTCTTCTCATCAACCAACAAATTCAGGGATTCCATTTAATCTTCGTGTTCATTCTCAGTTGTGGAACGCATATTTCCTTTCAAATTGTTACAGTTTTGGAATAATTTCCAAGTGTGTCTCATTTCTTTGCAGATGAAGAATAAGTCATCCACATATCTTGGGTGGAAATTAGTTGTTTTTTTCCACTGTAGATTTCCACATTCATCAACCTGAAACCAATCTGGAAATCTTCGTCACTCCTCAGCATCAACAACAAAATTCGGATTTTCAATACAAACGTCAAGTCAGTCAGTTCTTCTACACGGATCAGAAACTTGGAGGGTCACAAAGAATATTTCCAACAGCCTGTTGCAGACCTTTATCAACAACTGTCTTCGTTGGCTGAAGATCAGATGGCCGGATAGAATCAACAACAAGAAACTATGGGAACAAACAAATTAAGAACCAATCGCCCAACAAATATGCAGGAGAAAGTGGAGATGGATTGGACATTCGCTGAGGAGGCCACTGGGTGACATCGCGCGTCAGGCCAACGCTCGAGTGGAACCCGAAAGGGAAGCGGCGAGTGGTGCAAGGGTGACATGGAGGAGATCGTGCGAAGAGGAACTGAAACAGTACGGATTAGCATGGACGCAGGTGAAAAGTATAGCAGAAGACAGAAGCAAGTGGAGACGTGTAGTTGAAGCCCACTAGGAACCCAAGGAAACAATAATAATAATAACTGTAGATTTCCTTTCATTGCATTTCTCTCTGGATTTACAATGAATACATCAGCTAGCTTTACTCATCTCCTGCCCCACTCACCTTGACTCACTCAATTGATTTCTAATCATCTCCAAGTAATTATCTGCATATTATACATCATAATTTCACCCTGAATGTTTGCCTCCGTTTAGTGTTTTTGTGTTAAGTCAACCACCATCAAATCATCTTGAATATTCCTCCAAACTGAATACCATAAATGACTTCTTTATTTTCGTGTTATGTGTAACTGATTATGCCATCACATTTCATCTACTGTCACTCCCCTGAACCACAATCCTCACGACAGTGTTCTGTTGAATAGAAGTAAAACGATGTATGTTCTCACTTTGTTAATACTCAATATATTTTGAGGTGTGTGAAGTTGATGAGCATCGCGAAAATGAAGTACAGACATTTGTTTATACTGTCAATTTGTTCTCGTTTCGACGATGCACTATATCTGTATTTGTGTGGAATCCACATTGCAATGGAACCTTGTTCTCTCCAAAGAACCCAACGCTCCAGTCACGTAACCGAGTTACACTCACTACTACTACTAGGAGACCTGAGTCACATGAAAGGAATCAAGGCATATAATCATTACCGTCATGTGAGCATTAGATCGTTCAAACTGTCCAAATATATGACACAGTTCATTGTAAGTGACAATCGGTTGAAGGGAGACGCATAAATACAATGCAGTTAGTTATCCAACAAATGAATGACAAATGAGTTCAATCAGAGTATTCCAGTTTAAGATATTGAAAAATAACTGAGAAATAACCACTGTTGAATTTGTGAAGTGAGCACTAGTTGAAGACAGTTTGCTTCTCTATTGTAATCGCTCGTCGACACTGTGTCCCGACACTGGGATACGTGTCATTCCTTACAGCTTAGTAGTGAGATTCTACTCTAGTTAACTGAATTTGTCGAGTGTTAAGAAATGCAAACCAATAAGCATAACGGAGTGAATGTGTGCGCATAATTCATAGTGGATGCTATGATTCTATAGCATTCAGAGTATAACTACCAAACCAAAGCACAAATAAATGTTCATCTGAGAATCAACATGAATTTAGCTACAGAGGGAACTTACTTTCGATCCAATCTGATTCCCACATTGACCGATTTGTATATGCACTATTTCACGCATAGTGACAATTGAAACAGTTGTAAATGAGATATGCTTTTTGAGAGAATTCGGAGTACATTGAAAAGATTGTCAGTTTAAATAGGTGTAGTATTTCCCTCTTTCATTATTTATTGGTTAGGAGATTTCATAAATGGCTCAAACTGGATAGTTATTGGATCTTGAGAACAAAAGGAAGTAACTGCAATACAATAGGTATCATTGAGTGTCCTTGACATCAGTGCACTCATGGATACTGCCTACCAACAAAGACAAACACACGCACACACACACACACATACTCATTCACAAAGATAAACAAACATTTGATTATGTATGAGTTGTAAATTAACAAACAACTACACTGAGAACTGTGTTCATCAGTATGCTGTATTGGGGTGGAGAGAAAATTCTCTTTTTGGAGGAAGTGGTAGAGCTTATAAGCCATAAGCTTCATTATAACGATAAACATCTGCCCAGATGTATTCATTAATTGATTAATTAATTTCCCATAACACACACACCGACAAGTGTACGTGTAGTCATTGCATATATACCAAAACTGGGATCATACAGGGTGTGAAAGGGGGTGTGACAGGATTTCTAAAAATTAGAGAATGGTATTCATTAATTGGAAATTCACAGTTTCTTACAGTTTCTTATTACATTCATCTCTCTGCATACCAATTATGTCCAATCATTGTATGGAGTTTGTAAAAGTGAAGAAAAGTCAGTGAGAATATTAGGACAAAAGTGACCATGGTTACGTGTTTATATCAACCTGCTCTATGGAAGACATTCATTATATGAGGAGAGAAGTACTTTTCCTTTGACCACAGTATATAATAGTACATTTGATCTACCTGTTTACTCTTTTAGCTAACTAAGAATGTTTGGTTTGATAAGGCTCAGAGCTTAATGGAACCTGCGCTTGTTGACATAGGTCACTTCAGGATGTGAAGTGATAAGAAGGCTGATAATTAAAAGTGGTGGATGATGGAGACATTGAGGTCGATTCGATCGATTTTGATATGAATTTTTGATCGTAAAGCCGAAATTTGAATGCATGTTTTAACTTCCTGAATGGAGAATGCTATCTATCTCTAAGCGCATTGATGGATGCAGTATGGGAGAGCAACTTGTGTCGGATTACAATTGTGCCCATCATATGTGCAAAGCTTAACCAGTGTTCTCTTGTAATGAAGGCGACATTGAACTGTTCATGAAATGGCAATAGTAATAATAATTTAGGGCGACAGTGGCAGCAGTGTGTGAATTTAATGGGACTGAGTAATTCTCTTGAGAACTGTGTGTGGTTGATCCCAGAGTCAATATATTTGAAACCACCTTCGCGAATTTCGAGCTTGACTACTTGTTACTGCTTCAGTCTGCCGAACTCTGAGTATGACTGTCAGTCTGATGTGTAAATCTGTCGGTTTTGTGTTTGTTACTGA